ACCTGAGCCGAAGGCAGACACTTAACGACTGAGCCACCCAGGTGCCCCTAGCATAACAAATTTATCCAGATTTTTAAAAAAGCTAGATATAAACATTATTTCTCTAACATAGATAAGACCAAAATCAGCGCATCTCGATCTCTTCAATGTATACAAATCACCTGAGATTTGTTAAAATGCAGATGCTGACTTATTACAGGTGGATGAGATTCTGCATGGCTAACAAGCTCCTAGGCAACATCCAGGCTAAAGAGCCTCAGACCACACCCTCAAGTAGCAAATGACCACAGTCATCTTTAACGCAATAGGTGCAATATAGATGTTGTAGAGAAGTCCAAATTAATACTACTTTGCAAAGGGAAGTATTTGCAACAAGTGTTTCTACATGTACATCACCCTTTAATCTAATGCTCTAATGTCCTGGGGGAAAACTGGTCCAAGTGTTTCTAACAGCTGCTTTTCCATCATTATGAAGTCCCCACAACACAGATTTCTTTTCCTCCTGCTTCCCTCTGCTTCTGCTCATCCTTACTGCTGTCTTAAATCCTATTCTTTCAAGGCTACCCACTCCTTGGTTAAGTCTCCATTAGACAGGGTTGAGATCTTTCCTACTCTCCAGAGGCCCCTTTCCCTGCCCCTGATTTGCACTGATGTATCCATCAGCCCCCATCCCCACCCCCCAGGTCTAGATGGTCAGTTCCTTCAGGTGATAGTAAAGTGGTTCTGAGTACCTGCTTCGAGTTACAGCTGGGTTCAAAGCTCAGTTCTGCCACCCACTTTACCTGAGCAAGTAAACCATCTCCAAGCCTGTTTTGTCTGGTAAAATACAAATCATTCCTACATAAAAGGTTGTGAGGATTATAGAAAATGTTTAAAAATCATTTAGCAAAGTGGCACCAAAATAATACTAAATGGGAGCTACTATGACAAGGACATAAAGCATTTAGTGTAATTTCTTTTACATGGGTAGTTCTCAAACATTACTTAAAAAGTCAAAATTGTTATGCCTTTTAAAGATACTATTCCTAAATAGGAGAAACTCAAAATATTGGAAGTTTCTGAATGGCCCGGGGCTTGCAAGTTTCTCTCTTCTGAAATTCTCATAGTTTATTTAGGATGTTAGATATCTTAATCTGGAAGGTGTGGCAATTCCTCACTTCTCTCTTTGAGAGAGCTACCCAAATATGTATAGTAACTGAAAATAAGGCTTGAAAAGTACCATACTGTTCCAAACTCATAACTAATGTATTCTATAAATACACAATATCCTTCTGTGATAACTTCATGGAAATATAGTCTGAAGTTATATAATTGTAAAAAATGTTTAAAATTCTTCTAGGATTACAGAGAATTTTAGTTCTTTCAAAATCTTAAAAACCTTACAAGTTACTGCAAAAGAGCATACAGCATAGATGACACTTAAAGACAGAATGATCAAGAAATTTGCAGAACTGGTAAAAACCGCAATCGAGACCCAAGGCCCATCAAATTCCAGGCACAAAATCAACACCTACATCCAGACACCAGAGTGAAACTAATACACCCCGCAAAATAGCCATTTCTGCATGTAGCAAACACAGGGAAGGGAGAAAAGATGAACACGTGAGCCTGCATAATGGCCAGTTCAACTAGGGGATCTGAAGAAGTAAACTTTTTTTTTTTTTTAAGATTTTATTTATTGGGAGAGAGAGAACATGAGCAGAGGGGACAGGAAGAGAGAGAAAGAAGCAGGCTCCCCACTGAGCAGGGAGCCTGATACAGGGCTCAATCCCAGGACTCTGGGATCATGACCTGAGCCAAAGGCAGCCGCTTAGCCGACTGAGCCACCCAGGTGCCCCAGAAGTAATCCTTTTCTGATTTAAAAAAAAAAATTATGAAACTAGAAGGAATCTTAGTTTTCTAGATTTGAAATCCCATTACAGATGAGGTTATTCATCCTAAATGACGTCATTAGCTTTAAAAAGGTTCTCCTTTGTATCTCTATAATCCCCAAATACAGAATGTGAATAAAGATATAAATTTAGGTGACCTAATTAATATTTTTACATTAACTCTTAAAACAATCCATAAGTGAGAAAATGCAGCTAGGAAATCATAAGCAAAATCAACTTCAGTAATCAAAGAAAGGAACATATGATAAGGCATTATTTCATATCCCTTAAAGCAATCATTAAAAAGAATTCCCTCTGGCAACCGGATATTAAGGTAAAAATGGGTCACTTATCTTTTTGGCATTTGTAAAAATTAAATCAATCCTTTTACACAGCAATTTAGTTGAGAGGATACAATGTTAATCCTTATAAGCCATTTGTGTGATTTTATAAGAATTTATTCCAAGACCTAACGCACATGAAAGGTTATACACAGCAAGGTATTCAATTAACATTAAATTATGAAAAATGATAAATGACCAAGATATACACTGTTCACTCAACAATTCTAAGAAAACCTGATGCCAAACCCTAAGTGTGTAAAGGCGTAGGTAAAAATTCTGATGCTGAAAAATTAGAAGCAATCTCAATGTTCACCATAGGGATGCAAACCCCACATAATGAAACATCACTGGCAAACAATGTAGATCTATGTTTGAAATTGAAAGAAACCCTTGATATATTGAGGAAAAGGTTACAAAATAGCATAGCATGACTCCACTCTGGAAGAGATCTTTGTATTTACTTATACATGGGACAGAATCCCGAAGCGCTTACAATATAGCTACACAATAGTATGTTTTAAAATGTAATTTTCTGTATTTTCAGATTCTTTAAAATAAGCGTATTTTTACAAGCAGAAAAAAATAGTAAATGTATTTCCAGTTTGGAAGAACATAGTTATGTGGGGAAATTATCTCAAAAATTAACTGGCTATGATCACAATGCAAGATCTGCTATGCGCAAGAAGCAAATACAGAAGGGGAAAACATCCAAAACTTGATCACTTAGGATAAGACTGTTTTATTCACTTCCATTGTTTTTTCAAAAAACTCACTCTTATTAAAACTGCTGTAACTAGAAGCTTCAAAGTATGAATATAGGAGAGGATGAATTTTAAAGTAAGACAGAATTCTACTCCTGCCACTTACTAAATAACTATAATCTTGGCCAAATAAAAACACCTAAATGTCAACTTTTGTCACAAATACTGCCTGCAAACAGTTGTGGACTATTAAATGATAGCAATTACATGAGATGCAGCTCACAAAATTGTTAATTAACAAATAGTGACCAAAATACTAAACTGTATGATGTTGACACCTGGTATTTTTGATCTACAAAAACACCAATTTTGAGCTATTATTGTGAAACACTTAATTCTAATTCCCAAGGCTAATTACTAATTTAAACATGTAATCTAATGGCTGAGGGGAATCATACTTCATCATTTGGAAGAGGTCTCATCTTAAAGTTGAGGAACTGGAAGGATCTACATTACAGGCCTGAAGGCCAGTTAACAGCAGAACTTAAGATCTGAATGCAGGAAATTTGACTCTTAAGTTTTTTCCAGACCCCCAATCAAGTTCAGTAAAAATTGTTAGCATACCATTTAAGGGGGGGGGGAAGAATTTTAATCTTTTCTCATTAAATGAGACTAAAAAAGATTAGTTTTCCCCGGGGAGAAGGGCAGGTGATATTGGTAGTCATGGTGGAAATAAGGATTCTCAGGAAAGTAAATTTTCTTCTGGGTTCCGGTGATGATTATTAATGAAAATAATTTAAACAGAAATGTACAGAATAATCATGGTGGATACAAATAATAGTGACAGCTACCACAAAGACGGGGGTATAAAGAACCAGGCGGTAGTTCACGATTACCTGTTAAATTTCTATAGGTCATAGAATGGGTAAAATCCAATTACAATAAATCTATCTTAAAACCAAACAACATTAACATGTATTTCAAGAAAAAAATGTCTTTTAGGGGCCAAAAAAAAAAAAATCAGTATTGGAAACTCAGTAAAAACACGTGCTTTTAAAAAACAGATGTTTTGTAATGTAAAAAGACAAAAAAGTAAGAAACGTTATTAATGTATAATTAAATGGAATAGAAAAGATTAAGTTGGAAGTAGATGCATGAGTTGCTTTACAGAAAATACATAATGTTATGTGACAATTAAAGAGGCTACTCTCAAATAGTACACAAATTGAGGAGTCTTTATTTTGAATTCTTCCAACAATATTTTACAATGAACAATAACTCAACCAAATTTATCTACTATACTAAATGGTTTTAGAGATGAATACTGAAATCAGCCTGTAGGTTTTTGGCCCAACACCTAAAACCACCTCCTGCATTCAGATTTGTCTTCATAAATGTTAGCATATTAAACACATCTTCCAAGACCTGTCTTTCTGGCTAAAAAGGTTTCCTCCTTTCTTTCAGACTTCTCGGCAAGTCCTCTCCCTCCCCACACTTAGCCTGAAGGTGCTACAGTACCCTTGCTATCAGCTAGTAGGGGGGATATCAGGCCTCACATAGAAACTATCCCAGGAAGCACATTCTGTCTTGACTAATGGTAAATGCACATTAAGAAATTCTCTGGACTCTGCCTAGTCTTTTGAGGAGTAACAAGCAGAACTTTTATTATCCAAATCTTTTCTAAGGCAAAGGGAACTAGTTTTGAAGAATAAAATACATGGTTGTGCCAAAATATTTTACTGTAGTAAATCTATACCTTTTCTTTTTAAATATAAGGTATATTCTAAGCTAATGTCGATAAGCAAAGGTGCAACACCAGCAAGTAGTAATAGAAAATCATCCCAAAGCGCACTTTTAGAAACGTCCAGAGTCATGGGTAGGGACAATGGAAAAATTAAAGTGCAAAATGGGTATGAACTTGCACAACCTTTCGATGACAGACTGAAAACCTTCAAAGTTCAATTAAAAAGCACAGGGTTTTTCAAGTATCTTTAGATAGTCGATTTGAAGGATTCCCCCGCCCCTTAAAAGAGAGAATTTCCTAAATGGAAGCATAAGATAATAAACAGCTGGTGAGCCTCAAAGTTGAATGAGGTCTGTTTTATTGAGTTTCCAGTCAGGCAGGGTCAAGACTTATCTTCACATATGCATAAGGATGTTCTCAATTTTAATAATGTTTTTAGTAGAAAAATCTATACAAATACTCTCCAAAAGGGACATCCATATAATGAAATCCTGCAGCCATTAAAATAATGAGTTAGAGCTGGATGTGCTACTATGTAAAGAAAACCAAATTAAATAAAAAGAACCAAGTTACAAAATTGTACATTTAAAATAAAGGAGGACAGCAAGAGGAGTATATATGTATACAGAGGCATATGAAATAAATGGTAACATTTCTGAAAGACTATACAAGAATACAAGAAACTATATTCCCCTGGGGTGTGGGAATGAAGTCACAGGAAGGAGACGAGATGTAATTTTTCACTTTATACCCTTTATATATTGCATAATTTTTAAAAATCATAAGCATGTTTTATAACACATAAAAAAAAAGTCTTTAAAAAACCTGATTGTACCCACAGCATTCTATGAAACATTAACCGTATAACATCAGTTTACAATTCTTTGCTGCCATTTATTTAATGGTCATTTAGACAAAATTAGAAGGCTCCTTGGGTGTGTGCTTCCTCTCTCTCAAGATTAAGAGAAAATACTGAGAATTTAGAGTTTAAATCTTAACTCTCATTGATTAAACTGTGACTTGGATGATACCTAGTCAAGATTCTAGAGAACCAATGACAAAATTAACTTAAATGGGCATTTTAATCACTAATTAAAATATTTTATCCAAGATCACTTTTCCTTTTTACAAGAGTCCGAGTCACAAGATTTCTCTTTTCATTAAACTCCACAGCCCTTTGAGTTAGACAAGCATAGATTCCAAAAACTATTTAAACACACGTTGAATTCTTATGCAGGGCTATAAAATAAACAGAATACACAGATGCCAAAAGTTTGAAAAGAAACACATTCTTAGCAAAAGTCTTCACTGGAAATTAATACCATACATTCAAATCCTACAGGACTCCAAAATCAGAACAATGAGATTTCATAAGAACCCTCTTACCCAGACATGGGATTTGCCAACTCGAAGGTCTTAAAATACATTTGAATGTTTGAGGCTAAGAAAACTGGGAGTAGGCCAGTGGCCACCTTACGTGTGCATGCTTTAAAACTATTCAAAAATCCAAGTTTTTAAAACACTGTGCTGGTCAAACAAAAAACCGCAGACAGAATTCAGAGTATATGTCACGACTGTGCAAGCCTTACCATTAGCACAATAACTGGACTTTTTAATACCAAGGTTCACAATACTTGAGTCTTTCCAGATTAAATAACACCATGCCCCATTCACTTATTAAACTGAATTAGTGTCCAAATGCTTGCTAAATTAACAACATAAACAAAAGGCTCTTCAAATATTGGATACAATCACCAATAAATTTAATGAACGAGTTGTAGAATTGTGAGTGCTGCACTGGAGTTGGCTTGCAAAGGCCTGGGAGCCTGGTGCACATCTCTTTCTAATTCCAAGTTTAATGACATCAGATTGATAGGTGACATCAGCCATTGTGAGAGTATCTACACCACAAATATCAGTAAAGCAGTACAGAACAGGGCACTTTTTCATGAGAGAAAAAGTCTCATCGGCACAACACTAAGAATTACATCTTGGTCATATATTCACTTGTTCAAATATACAATGCAAATTTTTAATTAATGACATTATAATGTTCTAAAATATACAAAGGAAAATTTAACTAGTGAGGATGAATTTCATATAATAGGCTAACTTAACACAAATTTTAATAATGGCATCCTTTAGAAAGTAAATTTTAAAACCACCTAAGGCACAAACCGTATCAATAAAAGAGGGAATGTTTCTCACAAAATAGGGATCACTGTAATACTTCACAGATGCTTCTTTAGTTTAAAACAAGGTCCACTAATTACCCCATTAATTAACTTGTAAAGTTTAAATAAAAGCCTAGTGAATAAACTGTATTGATTTCATCAAATTATGAATGGAACTCAAATTAAATAACTAAGTTTTATTAGGTATACGGGATATAGAAAGTAACTCTCCTGGAATTTTAAGACTTTTTTTAAAGGGCTACTTACACAGAAATGTGACAGCCCTTCAATCCAACAATGAAATATTTGCTCTCCAGAGCAAAAGCTCTGTCATTAGCTTAGCCTCCCTATGCCTTGCCTTCTTTCATCCTTAAAGTATGCATCCACTTCAGGATTGTATAATACATGAAGAGCACTTAGCAAGTTTCTCATACATTTAAAGGGCTTAATAAATCACACCCCATAATACCACCACATACTTTGAAGTCATTACTTTTTAAAAAACGTATCTTCACAATGGTCTCCTAGAGATTAATTTTCTGATGGAAGTCTGAGACTGTTGGTGGAGACCAAAGATGAGGTGAGTCATTATGAACACAAGTTCAGTGAAGGAGCACAACACACAGACGAAGAAGGCCCAAGAAGCAAGGCACAGGGCCCGCCTGGGGATAGAAATGGAGTATTAGCTCAAAAAAAGCCTATTTTACAATATGCCAACAATAGCAGTAACAAAGCCAGAGTTTGTGGTGACTAATTATTGTAAACTATCTTTTAAAGTCACTTCAAAAGAACTTCCAAGCATTCTGTTTAAATGAGAAGCAACACCAAGTGCTCTCTTTAAAGATGAACAACGTATAAAAAGCCACTGGTGGGAAAACCATAGGAAACCTCTTTCTAAAGAAGTAAACACATTCCTTTAAATCGTAATAGTGGACTTCCTGGAGGATAGTGATTTTTTTGTTAGAGGAATCCACTTTTCATTAAAAAAATTCTTTAACTATAGCTAAAATTATTAACTATAAACATGAGAGAGAAGAAACTATTCATTTTGACCTTCTCTTCAGCAAAGCATTTTTTCATTTTTAAAATAGCTATTTGATAGCTATTAAATGACGACACAATTTCAAAGTGGTCGGAATAGTAAATGATTCCAAAATAAACATCAATAACCATGAATCAGAACTTGTAATATCCTTGAAGGACATATTCACCAATGTCATCATTATTAAAACAATTTCAAACAGAAATAGAAAATCCAGAAAACAGTATTAAAAACGTTTGCCGTTTCAACTCAACGTTCCACTTTTCCCACCAAGCAAAGAAAACCACTTGGAAGTTCAAGGAGCACTATGTTTACCCTACAACCACACACTGTTATTCTGGAAAATAGAAATTTAAAGTGTAGCACAGTGGTTTTCAAAGTGTAGTCTGAGGACCTCTGAGAGTCCCCAAAAGCCAAGTGTCACAACTATTTTCATACTACTACTAAAATGTTATAGGTCTGTCTCACTCATGAGTTCACAAGTGCACAGTGGAGTTTTCCAGGGCCCGCATGCCACATGACAGAAAAATCATTGTGATGCCAAGGGAGCAGGAGAAACTCACTGCTTCTCAGGCCAGGTGCAAAAAGAGATGTGCAAAACATAAAACAATGTTCTTCTCATTAATTAACTGCTTTTGGAAGACAACTAGTTTTTATTTAAAAATGGCATTTATGTTAACATGCAATGGGTTTGTTATATTTAAATGAATAAACACGTTTTTTAAGTATGTCAGTATTAATTTCTAATACAGTAATTTCTGATAGATACAAGCTACATAAACAAAAGCTCTTTGGGTATCTTCGGTAATTTTTTTAAAAGAGACCAAAATGTTTGAGAACTGTGAGTGCTGCCATACAAAAGCAGCCAGTTAGCCTTCTCTTCATTTTCCCAACTTCCAGGAACTGTACCAAAGAAGGTGTGTGCTGGGGGCTAGGGCAACGCACACGTAAAGCGCTGACAGGCTTCTTCAGATTTAAAAAAGGAATTATTTTAAGGAAGAAAGTGATTGCCTAATCTCTATTGTCACAAAAATGAGAAAAAAATATGCCTTTAAACTGTATCAACAATGTTTGCCACTCTAAAAAAAAAGAAAATTCTCCTTCCAGAGCAAAAACAGGAGAGAAGATCTGATTGAACCAGTAAGCCAGAAAATTTGGAGTTCTTCAGACTTGTCCTCCTCTTCAGTACTCAACACAATTCTGATGCGTCTATATAAAACCAAAAGTAAATCTGAATAGGAAAGTCTAACAAAAGTGAATTTAAATCCACATTAAGGCTGGATCACTTTTTAAACTAAGGATTTCGATTTTATAAGCACTCATTTAAAGTAAGTCAATAAGAGTTCTCATTTACTTACAAAGTTCAAGATTTACCCGGAAAAAAAAGTCTTTAAAATTATTTTAATAACAACTGTTTAATTTACTTATTTTTAGATGGAAAGCCTCGTAGGTTATTTCGGTAATGGCCTACAATTATATAGTATAACTTTGTACATATGAATTGTACAATCTAAAACACAGAAATTCAAAGACATTTCTTAAGCATTCCCTCCATGAAAAAAGGGCTGGAGAGAGACCCCCAAACTGTAGGTATTTCAAGGTATTTCAGCCCACATATCGAGACCTCTGCAGCATTCATTCAATATTAAGAGAAGAGGCATAATGTTCAAAAAGAGGCAGAGATTTCCCAGTCTTCTTGCTCATCAAAATAGTTAAGATAAACCACACACTGAGCTGGAGATGCAATGGGACAGCAAGGTTTTACCAAGTCTGGAACACTACACAGACTTTAAGATTGTGTAAAAACTCATGTAGTCACCACTGGAAAAGGTATTCAACACAAATAAAATGTTTGAAGAAACTGATGTTCACTTCTTTTAATACCAAAACTTTAAAAAAAAGTTTAATCATTGTAAGATAAAACTTTCCAAACACGTATTACATTTGTTTATGTAATTTTACCTTTTCTTGATGACACAGAGTCATAGTACCAGACTATTATCAGAACATGATGTAATACAGTGATGTCCTCTAGGCTGGCCTGGCTGCCCTTACCCTAAATGGTCGACAGGTTTTCAGGGTTTTTCTATCTCCTTCCAAACCATCACTTCTGAACTGCTAATATGCTAGGCTGGGAAATCAAATAATCAAAATTTCACATAAAAACAAACATATAGAGACCCTGTGACTTATGTGGGTTGCTCAAAGGCATTTAAAAAAGAATTATTCCAAGTTTCTCAGTTGTGTTCTGTATTGATGAGACTGCTAGATTACATCTCGATGAATGAGGCATTACTGTACATAAATATTTAAACAAGTTCATCTATTAACAAAAAGATCTAACTAAACATTAGTATCGTTGCCTTTTTAAACAAAGTATTCTATAACTTTAAGGTAACACTGGGTTCCAGTTTTTTTCCCCCAGAAATGAACATAAATAAATGTCCTATTTTAATAATATCAGTTTGTCCAAACAAAGGGGGGAAAAAAAAAACTGAGGTGCAATCATGTCACAGTTAATGCATGTCTGCTTCCAATACATTCAAAGACAGTATTTTTGTTTAAAAATCAATAGTTAAAATAGGACTTCTGCAGTCTGAGAATTCAAGATACTTAAAAAAATTTGTAAATACACATACATGCAAATTCTTCATATATACAAATTTTCACAAAATTAAGAAGTTGCAAAGAAATTAGAAGGATTACGGTGAATCTGACAAGCTACATTTAAATGCTTTACCACTGACATATTCCTGAATATAGCAGTCATCGTAGTTTTAATAAATTTTCTACATGGCCTTTTTTATAAAATTTTTTCTTTTAGACATAAAAGTTAGTCACTAGAAGTCTTCTGAAATTCTAATTTAAGAATTCAAGATGTTCTCAATTCACTACTCATATTTTAAGGCCACTTTGGTAAAGGCATTGCAGCAAGAACACAAAAACAATAGCATATTTTCTAATATTTATTTTTTTCACCTGCAAACTGTAGCAAAACATGATCAGCTTTATTATGCAGACAGGTATCCCTCTACATTTTTAAAGAATTTAGGTATGTATAAATAGAAGAGCTCTTTAGAAAGGAAAAATTCAAGAATGAATAAAACCTTCCAATTTTGACTTTGTAACTTTCCAGTAGCAATGGTTAAAATGATTTTAGGTCATTCATTCCAAGATATATGACAGCACCTTAAAAGTGGCTGATCTATTTCCCCAGTAACATTTCTCACACAACAATGTGTTAAAGTTACAAATACTGATATGCACAAATAGCTAATTTCTAAGAAAAATATGTACAGTACTGCAGCATAATGAATGTGGTATCTGCAATAACTTAATATTAGCCAATTTTTAATATACATGATACCGCTACCTTTTTCTGCCAATTCACAGGTTAAAAGTTGTTACCGGAGCCCTCTGTTTTGCACATATTACCTGGTGTTTAATACACAATGCAGGCTTTTTAAAGACTTCTCTTGTGTTTAAAGCTAAGATCAGTGAAACAAGACAACAGTGCAAGAGGCGGAGAGATGTAATGTGACCACGTAAAAGTTCGTTCCAGTAAAGTGTCTATATAAGGCTATAAGAAAGGATTGGTTGATGAGCTTCCTGTTGGAAATTGTCCTGTTGGTGCACCAGTCTGAAGGAAAACATAAGACAATAAATAGACAAGTAAGAGTGGTATATGTGTGAAAATATGAAAAGATTAAACTTTGATTAAATCTTATTTAACAAAACAGTATTCAGATTAGAAATTATTTTGTAATTATTAGCAATCCTATTTATTCATTAGTATTAGCAACTGATATAGTAAAACTATTAGGTGTCAGAAACTGTGTTATGGCCTTTAGTATCCATTATTTCATATAATTCTCCTAACAGAATCTAAGAAAACGCATTTATGATTCAAACCAAGTCTCCGACTCCAAGCCCTTTTCACACAGTTCACTAAATCTATAGCTTTTCATAAAGCATTATTTTGACAAGAAAATAGAAAAGTTTCATGCTATAAAATAGCTTATTTACTGTCAATGTTTTGATTTGCAACTGATTAATGTGTGTGTGTGCATGTGTGTGCGTCTAAGTCAAAAAAGGATCATGTGTGACAGCTGCCTCAATCTGTAAGATTTTATACTGTCACATCAGTAGAATAGCAAACAGTATCTAGGAGAGTCACATCTTGCTTTTCCCAATTTGAAAATAAACACGTAACAACTTATAAAGTGTTTAAAACTGCATCTCACTTACCATAAAAGGATTACTAGATACTCCAGCAGCTGCAACTTGACCAAAAGGGGTTACCACTGGCTTTGTTTGTCCAAATGCTGCAAAACCTGCACCTTGTTAAAATAGAACCACCAATTATAACCCATACCTTTCAGAGACAATTTCAGAGAAATTTCTACCAGAGCAACAATAATAAAGTATCAATGTTTAATTGTTGAGTCTCATGCTCTTTCAAATACCAGAGACAAACTTCCTGTGGCACATGTAACAGAGCTTTCATACAGCTTCTCAGAAATGGTTACTTCTGATTTGTCTCAGCTACATAAGCTGCTGACATTTGAATTAACAGATGATTTGTGACTACCTGAGATGGACTGTGAGTAAAACACAGTGGTTTCATGTGAACAGCACAATATTTGTTAGGAAATATTTTATCATATGGCTCTGGCATGGACCTTATTTCCAAATTTTTATCTAACCACAGACACTAAAAATACATATACAATTATAATTTAAGAATAATCTTCAAATCTATGGACTTTCAAACTTTACCAAATAAGCTTATTGGGTAAAAAAAATCCCTGGCCTCTAGAACAAGTAACAAACTCTGACCACAATACAGTTACCTATTTGGAAAATTAGTCTATGTCTCCAACATAAATAAATAACTTACACAAAACAGCAGATCCACAACACCTTTCTGATGCAAAACAAAAATACTCAAAGTCTACAAAGTTTTGTTTTAAAATCAAGAGCCATATTAAAACATACAAGAGAAATTAATAAGAAAGAGAGTTGGGGGGGCCTGGATGGCTCAGCTGGTTAAGTATCCGACTCTTGATTTCAGCTCAGGTCGTAATCTCATGGGTCTGAGATCAAGCACCGCCTTGGGCTCCGCTCTTAGCGGAGAGTCCGCTTCAAGATTCTCTCCCTCTGCCCCTCCCCCAACTCATGCACAGGCTCTGTCTCTCTCTAAAATAATTAAATAAATCTAAAAAAAAAAAAAAAAAAGAAAAAAGACAAGACACGGGAGATTCTAAGAAGGGGTATTCTTTAGTCTCTCATTTCTCCTAAATCTATAACCTGGTCCCAAAAACTTAGCAAATCATTCAGTTTTCTAAGGCCCAAATCAATGAAGACGTTTATATTTCTGTAGTAAACGTTTAGCAGACAGTGCCACATCATTCTCTGCACAAGCCTTTATGTCCAAACATACAAGATTATGATACATAAAGGATATCTGAAGTGGACTTACGGCTAGCCAAGTGTTAGATCTTACCATTGGGCTGTTGAGAGAAAGCTGTCTGTTGAGGGAAAGCTGCTTGGGCTGGGAAGGCAGGCTGCTGGAAGCTGCCGCTGAAGCTGGTGGGAAGACTATAGGAAGCGGGAGTCCCGAAGCCCGCGGGCATGCTCATGGAGGCGGTGCCAAAGGTCGCGGCTGACAGGAAAAAGCAAGGGCTGATCACTGACACACAAAGGAGCAGGCTCTGCTCCTCATACCACACTACAGATTGATTTCATTTGAAAACATTAAGTTGTACACCAAAGGCATTTTAAATTCCAAAACGCTAACAAAGTTAGTAATAAGTTTTAACATTATACAGTTTAACACAATCTATAAAATGTTGTTCTCCTGAAACCCAATGACCAGAATGACACTAATAAAGCTATCATTTGAAATCACAAGAAAACTCAAAGTAATTAAAAGCCTAAACAGCAGTCAAATTTAAAGCCCATCATCATGCAAGTCACATGTATACTAATATACATTTCTGCTTTTAGTTTTGTTTTGCTATATACAGTAAAATAGCCAAAAATTGAATTTTATCCACTGAATTGTCTGTTATAATGTAGTATGTTCCTGACAAAAAAATTTTACAACTTCTAAAAAATAGTTCATTGAAGATAACAAGACTTATAGGAGAAACAGAGTTAGAAGCAGGCCTCTCAAAACCTATACAGCTTTGTAACCAGAGCCCAAAGGGGGGGTGGAGGGGGATGGCTTTCCCTAATAAAACCACTAACATATTAAAAAAGAACATGTGACGTTCTCAATACGTCAATTCCAAAACAAATACATGGACCACCATATCCTGTTTGAAAGATAAAGAGACTGCTCTGGATAAGGGGTTTAAGGTTAGGACTCCTGAGTTATAGATTAGGGCAAATGCATAAAGATTGAAAAGGTAGTGAAATAAGCATTCTTAGAAAAGATGGATGTAGGGTGAATTACTGCTGTGATCTAGACTGCACTGAAATCAGCGTGTTAATAACAACCACTACCCATGTGGTATGCTGCCATCATTCGCCCACTTATGGATTACTTATAACCTAATCTGCATTACAGAAATTTATGTAGTAGGGGCGCCTGGGTGGCTCAGTAGGTTAGGTGTCCGACTCCTGATTTTGGCTCAGGTCATGATCTCAGGGTTGTGAGGTCGAGCCCCACATTGGGCTTTGGGCTCTGCACAGGGCCTGCTTAAGATTCTCTCTCCCTCCTCCCCGCCGCCACCCGGCCTCTCTCTCTCTTAAAAAAAATTTAAAAAGAAATGCATGTAGTAGCAAAACAGTTTACTACTTACTGCTAGTGAAGATTAAAAACAGAACCTTCTGAATGTACGTTCTAGAAAAAGTCTTGGTAAAGTAAGAGCCAATAATGGTGCTTTTAAGGAATACTAGCAATTACAACAGTGAAATATTGTTGGCATGATGCTATCAAAAACATGGTAATTCAGTGAATTTGATTTAAAAAAAATTTAATTTACCAACTTACTCTCTGACTTAAGGCACAGGAATTCATCCTAAAAGTGTGACACAGATTATATTTTATTAAAAAAAAAAAAAACCCTGGAAGTCATATTATAGATACTGCCCAAAGTAATCTTATAATCCTATTGTTTACAACAATGCAATTTTTCTCATTGAACCTAATCAGAATGCCGAATTTTTTGAAATTACAATTGATGAGAAAACAGGAGAAACAAAAGCCACTAGGAAGCAAGTGAATTAAAGAATAATAAGCACACTGCAAGGGAAACAGAAGGGTTTCATAACAGACAACAAAGCACTGACAAACTTTGACAAATCACTTTTTAAGAAAGCACTAAAAAGCGAAACTTGTATACAGTTAGGCAAAACCAAACTCCCATGGAATAATGTGGTAAGATGGTTTGGTTTATCAAAAAGGTGTGAAAGTACTATGAATTCAAACTCAAGAAAAATAATCAAAAAAGCTATTAACATTCTAATGTGACCACAGAGGTAAGTGATAATGTTTTTCAGCATTAGAACACAAATCACCACAATTTTCATATGTAACTTTAAATATAATGTAATCCCAATGCCACACATCCATGCCCACTCCATTATAAAACATGGAAAAAACTTAATTCCACATGCAGGGATCCAGAACACTAGCAGAAGCTTCCACAAGCAGGTAGACAAATTGCCACACAAATCTAGGTATTAGTTGTGGCCACCTACCAAAATGAGCGTGAGGAAACACTTGAGAATGCATTGCTCCAGAAAGGCCTTATGGAAAGCCATAAAGAGACCAATGTCAATTAACTTATGGATAACTATTCAAAATAAAAGTAAACTTGTTTAATTAAAAAGTCCTAAAATTAGAATACACTGTTACAAAGTGGGTAGCATAAGAATACATAATAAAAACATATCCACAAAGTCTTTTAATTTCAACCACATTGATGACACTAGTATTTAACCTGTTTGAAATAAAGGGGAAATCAGAATAATAAATACCAGAGAAATACCAAATGAAAAAAAAATTTATGAAACCCATTTTTAAATAAACACTAACATTTTTTTTTTCATGTCAAGATACAGCTATGTCCATAAAAAGACTTCGTAGGCCTCAGGAGTTACACCCAAGCTATTCATAGGATTATCTAAAATGACCTAGAATCTACCTTTCGCATCTGAAAAGTCAAATCTTGCGGAGAGCACCTGAATGATGTTTGATTGTTTATAATTCTGCACTAACTAGAAATTCATAAAGATAACTCAAGTGAACTAATGAAGTATGATGAGGGGAAAATTATTCAGTGTAGATCATTAGAAAGGTGAGCAAAACTTGCAGTTTACAATGTAATGGCTGAAAAGAGAAGAGAAGAGAAAAATGTATCCTGTGTAAATCTTACCGGGCATAAATGAGGTCAGAGAGGTTACACATAAATACGTGTAATGAACAGAAAACAAATTTAGGTTTGTAAGTACCAGAAATTTTTTGTTTGTTTTAACTATCTGGAGTGGAAATGTTTCTAAAATGTATGTCCATGCCTTTTAAATTAGCATACTTAACAAATTAAATGTGGAAAAACAGAACGATTGAGAGATTAGAGTGGTTAGGAGTCTTGGTTCTGTCATTTTCTAAGCACAGAAGGTTATTTAACTTCTAGAAGCTTCCATTTCCTCATTTGCAAACAGGAGGCAGAGGGAGGGATAACAGTACCTACTTGACAAAGCTGCCATGAAGATAAATTTAATAAATTTTTAAAAAGTGCTGTAAATATTCAATGGATATATTTTCCTTGCTAATAACTTTAAAAGATGTGTACTTAAGAGATATATCAGCACTGTGTTCGAATTCAACAAAAGGGTTAATTGAGAAGGAAGGGTTTTATAATAAATAAGTTAGGTCACTAGGTCACTCTATGTTTATCTCCTTCTTAAAATCCTTAAGTCTCTTGAGAAGTCCTGCACTAAGAGTTGAATTGTTTATACCAGCGTTTCCCATATACGTCTGGCCCTCTTCCATGGAGTATTTGATAACATCTCAAGAGTCATGCTCTACAAAATACACTTTGGTACAAACTGACCTTTAGTCAACAGTGACTGTGAACCAATATGAACTGCCATAACCTCAGTCTGCGACAATGATGCTCTTGCCCTCTTAAGCTCTAGTCCTGGACCGCTATAAAACTTTTTTAGACTTAACAGCTTTTTGAGATATAATCCACATTATCACACTATTTGTCCAATTAAGTGTAGAATTTAATGCTTTTTAGTATCTTCCCAGGGTTGATGGGCGCCTGGGTGGCTCAGTTGGTTGAGCGACTGCCTTCGGCTCAGGTCATGATCCTGGAGTCCCGGGATCAAGTCCCGCATCGGGCTCCCTGCTCAGCGGGGAGTCTGCTTCTCCCTCTGACCCTCTTCCCTCTCGTGCTGTCTCTCATTCTCTCTCTCTCTCAAATAAATAAATAAAATCTTAAAAAAAAAAAATATCTTCCCAGGGTTGTAAAACCATCATCACAGTAGAACATTTTCATCTCCTCCACCCCAGACCCCCGCCCCAAGAAATTCCATACCTATCAGCTGTCACCCTCCCTCTAACCTCCCCTCCCTTTCCGTCTCTACAGATGTGCCCATTCTGGACATACCACATTACAAATGGAATCACAGGTTATACGTTACTCTGTGACTAGCATCCTTTAGCCTAATATTTCCAAGGTTCATCCATGTTGTAGCATGCGTCAGGACTTCATAATGGTTTATTATCAAACAAATTTCCATTGTATGATTATAACACATTTAGTTTATCCATTCAACAGTTGATGGACATTTTGAGTTGTTTCCACTTTTTGGCTATTATGAATAATGCTACTATGAACATGTGTGTACCAGTTTCTATGTGGATGTACATTTTCATTTCTCTTAGGTTATATTCTTAATGAGTGGAATGAGTGGAAAGAGGAAACAGTGCTGGTTTAGAAGTGTTCTGGGTACAAATATAAGATTAGTCACTAATCAATTCTGAAAGTTTAAGGCAAACCCATCAAATCGGTCTCCACCTAGGTAATAAAACTAGGAGGCTGGTCTAGATGCTACTATTATTCTTTCACCTCTACATTTCTATTAAGTTTATCTCCTTGGGGGTGAAGAAAATCTTTTACATCGTTCATTCATTAAAATGAAGTTAGGGAAATAAAGACTATTCATTCCATAGCAAAGGACAGAATTATAAGAGAATTTCATAATAACTGAAAACTGTATTAACTGTTAGGATTTAAGGCCTCAAAAGCTCTGTAAGAAAGAATGCTATTATAGAATCCTGAAATGAAAAAGGTCTTAGGCCATATTAGCTAATATCCTAACGAAGATTTCTATGTAACATGGTGAAAGAAAATTAAAGCCCCAAAGCTTTATAAATGCAGAAGAAAAATGATTATTAAAATGTGTATTTTAAGAAACCTATCAGTAAAACATTTCAAATTTGCCAAGAACTACTACACAATAACCTCCTTCAAAAGCTACCTCAAATGGAATTTAACAAAATATCTGAAAGCAACAAAAAATATTTCCTAAAGAACTAATATTAATTTTGACATTGGAAATTTCTAAGCATAGTATATTTATCAAGATACTATTCATATTTCAACTTCAATAGAAACATAAGTAGTTAACATTTACTTTTAATCATTTCTGTAACAAGGTGATCAATGTGATAAAGCGGTTTATAATGGGAAAAATTTTTTACCTTGAAATAAGAATTTGTGGACACAATTTACCTTTCAATTGTGCTTAGCCTAATACTAAAGATCACCTTATAACATCTGAACATACATCATACCTTTTACATTCTTGTACATCCTATGTAGATCCTTAACTTTAAAGGACTTTCATACTCTACATAAAATAAGCAAAAAAAGCCCTAATGACAAACCTCCAAACAAAATTTGGAGGTACAGTCATGAAAGGAAAATAATGGGAAAGATTTACCAACCATCTAGGATAATGCAAAGACCACGCACAGTGATTTGTATCATCTAAGTTCTCACAAAAACCCTGCCAGTTGGAGAATATTGTTCACATTCTACAGAAAAGGCTGACAATAAGGCTCAGAGAAGTTAGATCAATACAAGCTTAGTCAAGGTACAATCTAAGTTTCCACCCTTCAGTTGTCAAATGGGGTTACAAAGGCTATAAAAATTGTGACAGTATCTTGCAAACAATTTTAAACACTCAACAAATGTTAGTACATCTTCCTAACATCTTTACTCTACTCTACTCATATACAATTAACATTTAAATTAGGATCACCTAGCATGTAAATACTAAATCAGGATCTGAACACAAGTGTGGCTGTACCCAAAACAAATTCACTTAACTTTTCTGAGCTTCATTTCCCTCAGCTGTCAACCTGTATTTGATGAGAGTTAAGAGGACTAAATAAGACAATGTACAGAATCCTATGTGCCCAGAGACATCTTACATATTCATTCCACCAAGTCAAAATAATGTGCTAAGAAATAGAAACATTACATATATCGTAACTGATGAGTATTTCCATCCAAAACACAAAAGAAATTAAATCACTGATTAGGTATACCTGAATTAAAACAAAAACAAACTTTTTTAAAAAATTATGTGAAATTAAAAGTACTTATTAAACATCTATTACACGAGATACCAACAAATTATGACTGAAGAAACTCCTACTACAATTCCTAATCTTGCCAATGACACGGATTTGCTAATAATTACCAATTCTTATGGCACGAATTATGTTACAAGCACCTTACTCTTTCAAGATTTCCCATCAATACGTGCTATATGCTTAAAGCTTTCGTTCTAAAATCACTGAGACACGTACACAAAACAAAGCTGGCCAACTTTAAACCTAATGGGTCTCAAGCTATACCACATATACTTGTGGACACCCCAAGACACTGGCAAACAGTCCTGGTGTTCAGGGTGATAGGACAACAATCAAAGAGGCTCAATACGAAAACTATGTGGCTGGCTTGTAGCATGAACCAAAAAGAAAAAAAGGGAAGGGATAAAGAGAATGAAAAAATTATCAAGAGAAAATATTCAAATATTATATCCCAAATCAAATCAGGTTTATACAACTTAAAAAATGTGAATGCCCTAAAAGAAAGCAGTAGAAAAGACCTAATTGCTAAGACCTCATGTAACAAAGCTAATGCGTTTTTCGCCATCTCATGAGGAGGAAAACACAAACAAAAACTTCTCATAAATTTTTCCTATTAAGCTTCAATGAGTAATAACCAGTAATTCCAAAACCAGACCACCAAATGAGTCAGAATTACTGTATTCAAAAGTCCCATCTTGGTCACAAAGTGGCTGCATGGCTCTAAGAAGTCTCGCCTCCATGCTTGGGCTGCCTCACCTGAAGAACGAAAGCTGTGACTGAGCCGTGGGGAACACTAGAGAACTGCTAGGGTCCCTCTCAAATATGAAAGTCCAGGATTTTATAAACTTTCAGCTAGTGTACACTTTACAGACAAGCTCTTCCATCCACTTCCCATTCACTACAGTAAGAAAGAAGAACTTTATTTTCTGATGTTTTTCCCATGGTGTCTTTGCAATAAACAGACAGCTTTTCCAAAGTTTTCTGTTCTATAATCTATATTTATTTCCTACCTGTTGCTCCTCTGGCATTGGTCTGAAATGGATTTGTAGAAGATGCCACAGAAGGACCAGCAGCAGCAACAAATGGATTTGTGGAAGGCGTAGCTTTAAAAAATTACAAAAATACACTATAAAATCCTAATATATTTGTATTCAATTATTAAAAATATTTATTCATACATTTATGAAGATAGAAAATTAGAGCTTTCTGATAAAATAATGTTGCTTTCATAGCCTTCCAGTATTCCTAAGAAAATGCAATACAATACACACAAGCTCTTTATAAAAACCAGTCTATGTACCAGAAACACTACCTCCAAAGGGAGCAGGCACACTTGAAGAAGCAGGCTGTGTCTGTGCCGAAGCACCCACTGGCACTGTTCCAAAAACACTGCTGAAAACAAAAACAGAAAGAGTTCTTTTTATTTTTTTAAAGCAAGGGTAATCAGTCTACAGGGTGGCCATAAAATGTGGAAACAGGTAATACTGAACATACCATGTATCACAGCAGTTCTTAAACTTTACATCTCAGGACTCATTTACATTTTGAAAAGTTACTGAGAACCCCAAAGAGTCTTTGTGTAGATGTGCTGTATATTAATAATATGTATAGTACAGAAATCAAAACAGAAATTTTTAAAAATTTCATTCTTTTAAAATTAACCATAAAGCTATTACATGCTCACATAGTAGCATTTTTATGATAAAAAATTATTTTCTAAAACCAAAGGAACTTAAGAGCCACAATGGTATTTTTGCAAATCCCTTCAATGGCTGCCTTAATAGAAGATTGTCCTGTTGTGATACGCTGTTTAAAGTTTAAGAAGAAAAACTGCGCTCATAGACACCTAGCTGAACAAACCAGGAGAATGTGATGAGATTGAGCACATTCAGGGTGGTATGGCCATAGACATAGGAGAATCTGAATAGCTTTTTCAGGTAACTGTGAATACTTTCCTTGGTATCATACCCAAAATGACAGTGATAGTTTACCAACGGTTAGCTGCAAAATGGAATCTGAAATCATATCAATGAACTCCTTTGCACTCTACTGAAGTAACACCTACTAACCTATCTTGCACTTCAAATGAATCTTTTACCAATTTTGTATCATTTGGAAAATATCTGATGCAAATCTAAATGCCAACAATTTCCTTATGTAAAAATCAAAAACTTACATTCATTAATATCACCACTCATCAAAAAGTAATGTGAAGCTGTCAAGTTCATGATGGAGTCAATAAATTTTCTAAAATTCTAGTATTTGCTTGGAAGTATGAATTTTATCAGTTATTTTCCTTAAAGTGACAGACTTAAATATTTCATTTTTGAGGGGCGCCTGGGTGGCTCAGATGGTTAAGCGTCTGCCTTTGGCTCAGGTCATGATCCCAGGGTCCTGGGATCAAGTCCCGCACTGGGCTCCCTGCTAGGCGGGGAGCTTGCTTCTCCCTCTGCCTCTGCCTCTCTCTCTCTCTGACTTTCATAAATAAATAAAACATTTAAAAAAATTTCATTTTTGAGAAAATGTCTGCCAAATATCCAAATCTGAATAACCATGGTGTATCAGTCTTACTTTTAAGGAAAACCAGTGTTCCATAAAATAACCAGTATTCCATAAAACAACGGATATATCCATTATCATATGTGGCTGGTTCATTCCACAACTCAAACAACCACACAAGCTTGACTGTCCGCAAGTCACCCACCATACTTCAATATGCAGCAGAAACTACTTGATACATACCTTACTTGAATACATAGAAAGTCAGGACATTATTTAAGGATCAATATTTAATAAAATTAGATTTTTTAAAAAGATTTATTTTAGAGAGAGAATGGGGGGGCAGAGAGAGAGAGAGAGATCTCAAGCCGACTCCCCACCGAGCTCAGAGCCCAACATGGGGCTCCATCCCACCCATGAGATCATGACCCAAGCTAAAACCAAGAGTCGGACGTTTAACCGACTGAGCCGCCCAGGCCCCTCAGTAAAATTAATTTTTTTATACGGTTTCATCAAGAATATTTGTAAGAATATATAAATAAGTCATAGGGAAGGTATGTACAGCACGGTGACCACAGTCAATAATATTATAGTGCATACTTGAAAGTTATAAAGAGAGTAAATCCTGAAAGTGAGCTCTGTATGGGGACGGATAGTAACTACATTTACATGATCATTTCACAATATACACAAACTTCAAATCATTATGTTGTACACCTGAAGTCAATGTTATATACCAATTATACCTCATTTAAAAAAATTAAAAAGGAATATTCATAAGAAAAACTAAAGACTATTCACAAGTAAAACTGAAATGTGTGGTGGTAAGAAATACAATGACTATTAGATGACTACTAGTACAGTTTGGTGTCGTGGTCTTAATTTGTGCTAAAGTGCTGGCAAGTTTTTACTTGTCACCATTTCTGCACCATCAATACAAATGTCAAATACTAAAAACACAAATAACCTGTCAGAATTATTATGACTATCATTTTAACTTCAAAGACCCCTTGAAAGGGTCTCAGGTACCCCAAATGTTCCATGGACCACACTTTGTGAACCACTAATACACTGTAATATAATATCAATAAACCATTTGTTATGTATACCTATGTTTCCAGACTTTATGGTCACCTTGCTATAGATCACTATTATATATGTCTAACACAGACAATCTTAATGAAACAAGATATATATAAATACTCTAAACTTTATTCTTTGGATTCAATTTTTCCTTTTTGGCATATAGAAAATTAACTACTGGAGAGTCCAAGTAGTTAGTGTTACAATCCTCCCATTTCTCTCTAGAAAAGATGCTAAAGGGAAACAAAAAGCTACTCAGATAACAGAAGAAAAAAGAGACAAGTCTGTAGGATGGAAAACAAAGAGATGGATAAAGCACTGTATGGTAAGTCACCTATACTTCTGCATCTGTTTGCTTCAGAAATGTAGAAGTTACAACTATAAGAGTTTTTAAAGATCTACTGCTGTTATAATGTGTTAAGACTTCCTGCTGCCGGGCGCCTGGGTGACTCAGTCGTTAAGCGTCTGCCTTTGGCTCAGGTCATGATCCCAGGGTCCTGAGATCAAGTCCCATATCGGGCTCCCTGCTCTGCAGGAAGTCTGCTTCTCCCTCTCCCACTCCCCCTGCTTGTGTTCCTGCTCTCGCTATCTCTCTGTCAAATAAATAAAATGTTAAAAAAAAAAAAAAAAGACTTCACACCGCCAAGAATTCCCTCACATCAGATATATTTGAACACAGTTAAGGACATGTCTGTGTTAATACTAGTAGGACACTGACAAGATACAGAATTGGGTCCTGGGTTCTCTTGCAAACATTTCTAAAAATGTTTATTTACAGCTAAAGCTACAACATGTTACTTACAGTGTTTAGTCTTCATGACTAAAACCTGTACCTTAAAAGTATATAATCTGCTAAATGGAGTCTCTGCTCAGTATAATTAAATCTGTATATAACCCCTCACTCTGAGATGTGTACATACTCTCAATTACACTTTAGTGTTCAAGGAAGAAAAGTAACAAAACCTTTGATTAAATAAAAACTCAAGGATATTTTAATTAACAAATTAAACTCAAGTTTCTGCAAACTACGAAAATATTTAAGAATTTAAAAAATATGTCCCCAGTCATTATTTAACGTTATTATTCAGAGTTGAAAAAAAAATGCAACATGAAGCAGGAACATTGACTGAGACAAGGTACCTGCTAGCATTACTTGTGGAAGTATATGCGTTACTGGAAGTGGCTGCAGAGCTGAAAACGCTGTCTAGTTCTGCCAGGGCTGCATATTTGTCTGAGGATGCACTTGACTGACTGGGAACTGAAACCACAGAACCAACAGGAGCTTTACCTGCGGTCCCAAAGCCACTCCCCTGATCACCACCTATAAACAAACAAAAACAAATTACACTCACTGAAAACTTAGTTATGCTTTCAATTTATCAACCACATTTGCCACAAAACGTGTAAATTTAAAACCGATTTAAAGCTAAGTAAATAAATGGACAGGACTCTACAGTCTTATGTAATAAACTACCTAGAAACCATAGGACAAGATTAGTTGCTACAGGTACCACTGTGGTAGAGACAAAATACTGTTTCTGTAACAAAAACGAACACTCTGTACCAATAACATGTCTAGCTTATGTATAAAGAACATATTCTCAAAGTGCTACATTAACATCTCCAGAACAGGTTATTCTCATTCGAGTGAACATACAAATTCATAAAATGCTACACCCAATGTGAACCCATTAACAGTATCATTTTCCCAGGGTTGTCCATAAAAAATTAGACAGTAGTAAGAGGAGACATTTACACAGCACTTATCATGTGCCAGGCACTGTTCTAAATGACTGAGATACAATAACACATATGAGTTCAACGCTATTACTACCCTCATTTTGGAGCTGAGAAAGCAGGGTCAGAGATCAGGATGCAGACTCCAGTCCAAAAGCAGACCTCTGCTGTTCTCTACCACACTATGCATTCTGAGAGGCAAAATACTGGCCTTAAGATCAAAACCAGGTATAAAAATATACTGTAAAAATAATGGGTTTGGTTTTTTTTAAAATACCAAATTAATAGTAAAAATAGTTCAAACAAACATATTACAAAAACCACCATATAACCCTCCAATCAAAACTATTAATAGGATTTGTTGGACCTCTATGGCCTTCCAACAGTGAAGCATGCTAAGACAAAATTAAATTTTGTCAATTACTTTCTTTTAAAATTAGAAGTCTACAAATAGTTTCTAGGCCTTCCAAAAGGCCTATTATTGGATTATTTCACATTCAAAATATGGCAAATAGTCATGAACCTTTAGTATAGAGAAAATTTCTTCCCAACTATGAAAACCATAACGACCTTCAACTGTAATAAATGCAACCAAATTTAGAGGACTGTTTAATATACAAATTTGTTATTTATTTTGTTTAAACTTTAATACCTTGCCCAGCACTGAAGATATTGTCTAAATTAGCAAGTGCTGCATATTTGTCTGTAGTCTGTAGACCAGCTTTGTTCGTTGAAACTTTACTAATAGCTGATGCTGTTTGATGACTCTGGGAAGTATTGAAGGTTCCAAAATCAGCACTGGAGGATTTGGGGAAGTTATCAAAATGAGCAAAATTAGCATTTACTGATCCAGCACTTCCACCTGTAACAGAATAAACAAAACACTTGAAATTTCTAGACTTCTCCTAAAATCCTTTGATAGATTATATGATTTCTTCCTTAATTAAGTGTTCTATAAGCAATCCTACTGGCAAATGGCATTTAATTTTAATCATCTACATAGAACTTTTTATAATTTGGGAAACTACATTTTCAAAGGCCCTGGCAACACGTAGGGTAGCAAGTTACTATATGGAATTATCTACCCTCAAGTAAAGACTATAATTCACAGAAGAGTAACTCCTTGCTACCGGGTTTGAGACTCAGTTATTTTATAAACTATTCAGCTATCTATATACTATCACCTTTTATTAGTTCTCCCTAAATGGACTCCATAAGCAAGACGCAAAGTATACTATAAGCTCTTGTAGCTCCAAAAGAGACATGGTTGAAACAAATCCCAGGGTAGAGATTTAAAATGTTTAAGATGTACCATTTTGATCCACAATATCTTAAAAAGTGGTCTTTGAGCTTTAGGCTTATTTTTGTACTTAAAGAGCTAATATTTAATTCCACATAATAATTTAATGTACATATAATATCATGAGTGTCCTCAGTAAAATCATGCCCTATTATACAGTTCAAGGAATAAAAGTTATAGTGCACAATGTATAATCTAAATATCATATCAATTTTTTAATTTATAGATTACAATTCACCTAATGGTCACTACTGTATATATTCTGCTAAGATTTTAAAGACTGTTCTATACACTAGAAAGTTCCTATCTTTTGTACTTTTGAAGTACTATCAAAAGACTAAAGCCAGACTATTTCATTCTATGCTTTTGATGCTACACTGTTGGTATTAGTTCTTTACACCTACATATTAGTTTCAGCAATCAAAATCGTATATACATATACCTATATAATAAATGATAGCAAAGCTCAATTACAGGTATTTTAAAAAAGAGAACACAAACACTTTACCATCAACTAGTATTATAGACACTGTAAAATTTATACTGATAAAATTTCTTTCAGGAATTAAACTCCAGTTGTTTTCAATCAAACTAAATAAGGTGTGTTGGTATTTAACATTGTGATCTGTTACAAGTAGCTGGTGAACAAAATACATAATACTAAGCTTTCAAAATCTGATGAAATTTACTTCAAATTATTAAAAACTACATCATTAAATCAACTCTTTTATTGTATACTACTGTGTTCTCTCAGTCTCAGTTTAGTAATAGTGAAGAGAGAATAAAAGTGAGAATTTCAGAATGATTATCATTAAGAGATGAGTAACATTCTATAATTGAGAAATCCATGGAACAACATAAAACATACAAATTAGTAAAAGATGCCTACTTGACAACAGAACTTACTGTTGGAAGCCTGGAGAGGAAAAGCTGAAGTAAATTCACCAAAACTGCAGCTAGATGAAAGCATTCTAAATGCTGGACAGCCAGAAATTATGTAAATGATGGAATTTAAAGAAGAAAAAAAAAAGAAAATTGAAAGAAAAGTCTATAAGACAATACAGAGTTAAAACTTGAAAGAAAAATAATCAGCCAAAGATCTAAAGGAGGCTTCAATGAAATTCTGAAAACAATAGTTTATGGGAGAGCACTCAATGCTTAAAGACCGATTCCTGCACAGAAAACTATTTCCAGTCCGATCAGAGTGACTGTTCAGTCATCTCCTTTTGTATACTAGTATTTATCTTCTCAAGCTTGCTGCCCTGAAAACTATTTATATTTCTATGGAAGCGATCCATTAGCTTCCTTTATTCAATGTGTTCTGTGAATTTAAAAAATATAAAATTTAAAAAATTAAATTTTTAGCACTGTAATGCTCCTGTGCATAAAGAAATTTAAGGAAAATTCATATGCAGGAAAAGGAAGAGAACAGACACTGTGAATCAGACAACACACCAGAAAGTTAAAAAAAAAAAAAAAAAAACACACAAAACAGATGAACATAGAAAAAAAGATTTCAGGTTTCCCCAGAGCTTTATAAGGATAGAACTATTTGAAAATCAAATAATTATAGAATTTAAGTTTAGAATAATTTTTCAAACTACATCTAGAGAGTTTTGTTTCAAAGTAAACATTAAAGCATAATGCCAGAGAAGCTCTACCTGTAGTTTGGGGCTGAAAAGGAGAGTGACTCGCTGTGGGGAAACCTCCAAAATTACTCGAACCACTAGACTGTCCAAATGCATCAAAGTTTGCAAAATCTGCATTTGCAGAATTCTGAGCTGTAAATGGTAAGGAACAATATATGTTAATGAATATGAAAATTATAAATGAAAAATATGACAAATGAAATTTTATGAAAAGTTTGTCTCACAACTCACTTTAAAGAGAATTCATTTAGAAATCAAATCTTAAATCCTATCAGTGTTTATTTAACCCAGTTTCAAGCAATTCATTAGAAAGTATCCAAAAATTTCCCCGAAAACACTTTGTATAACGATAATGTATACACAATACCCTTTGAACAACCTCAGGAATAGTACAGTAAAAGTGATTCTATTAAAGGAAACTCTAAGAGCATTAAATACATGAATTACAGTAAAGCAGAGATATAGCATATAGATTACATTCTGGAAAATTCAGATTTAAAATGGTAGTAAGTGATTCATCAGCTATGTGAATCTAAAATAATGATACAAAGAAGGTTAAATATTCTTTTTGGTTTTTTTCTAAGTTTACAAGTATTTTACACCATGGCATATGAAAATTAAAAAACTGAATGTATAACAAGGACATGATTGTCAAATAAATCAGAGATATCCACATTCTGTTTAGAAACCTGCCATTCTTCACAGATACTAAAATTTGAGAAATGATGAAAACAGTAAAAATGTATAATATTAGTGTACTTCAGACTCAGTGAAAAAGACCAACTGGTATTTTCCCACAGATCATCAACATAAGAGCAAATTTTTAGGCTTCTCTAAACTTAAAATATGTAGCTAAGTAAAATAATTCAAAAGATTTTTTTTAAAGGCAAAAATGGATGCTGAATAAACTTTTTATAGAGAATATGATGAGAAGTGGTTGGTATGCAGGAAAGGGAATGCTAAGTGGGAAGAATGAAAAGCATGCCCAAAAGATAAAGGTTAAATGCCATTAACATAGTAAAAGTCAGCCACTTCAAATTCTTTGCAGGCAATTTCACTTCAAGGAAGTTTTCATAAAGGAATAATCTTGTAAATGAATATGGTTACATCTAACAGCTAAACAACATGTGTTTTATAATAATGAAAAAAATTAAAAACTCAAATGGCCAGTAATGAGGGATCATTTAAATATATTATGAAATATCATACAAAGAAATATAAGGCAGCCGTTTAAAAAAAAACACATAGAATATGTAGTCCTATTCAAAAATGCTTATGACAAAGTAAATAAGACAAACAGGTTAATAAATTCCAAATACATTTTCATTTGCCAATTTTGTTAGCATGGTATCATGGGCACAGAAAATCGGTATTTTTGTTAATTCAAAGTAGTGAATTTTCAGACTGGTATCATTTTCTCCTTTGCTTAAGTTTACTAAGCTTTTGCAATAAATATGTATTCTAATTTATACAAACCAAAAAAGTTACTAAACAAGAAATTTTCTACTAACAAAGTAAAATATTATTCTCGGAAGATAATCAGGAGAATTTACAGCATTTCATGTAGTTATTCCTTTGTGTCTGTCTGAAAGGGTGTGACTGCAGCAGGGCGTACACCTAACATAGACCTCTGTTTACTAGACACCTATGGCACCGCCCTTCCTACGTCCTCACCCCCAGCACTTCTGAGGTGGAAATGCTATGCTCTATATACATATCACTGCTCACACTTTGTTCTTGAAAACCCTTCTTGGGCGCCTGGGTGGCTCAGTTGGTTAAGCGACTGCCTTCGGCTCAGGTCATGATCCTGGAGTCCCGGGATCGAGTCCCGCATCGGGCTTCCTGCTCAGCAGGGAGTCTGCTTCTCCCTCTGACCCTCTTCCCTCTCGTGCTCTCTGTCTCTCATTCTCTCTCTCTCAAATAAATAAATAAAATCTTTAAAAAAAAAAAAAAAAAAAAAAGAAAACCCTTCTTAAACACATTTGTCCTGGCTCTCAAACATTACACAGAGGTATCTAAATTAAAAGCCTGCTTATCATGTAACAAAATAAATTTTGTATTTTCTGGATACTCTGAAATCTTTTATTATTTCTTATTAACATAGTAAGATTCAATTTATCAGCTGAGATTTTACTTTCCCAAAAATAAACACAATGAAAGATATACTAATAAATAAAGGACCAATATACTGAAAAATATTTTGAAAGAAATATCAACACAAGTTTAAACAATAAATAAAGTTTAAACCCAGTTACCATTTAGTATAATCAAATAAGTTTGTGAAAAGGGAATCCAAAATAATCAGAGAATTCCATCCTAACATAAAAACTGTACAGCCTTGGACAAGTCCCCTAATTGCTCAGGCTCTACCAGTCTTTTCACTAGCAAAACAAAAGGATTCACTAGATGACCTGTACTTGTAAATCCAGCAGTATGACTCTACAGCTTATAAGACAACAGGAATGAATTTTTAAGAACTGTGGAATACTAGGCCCAGAAGAGGAAAATTCTACTAAAAGACAAAAGAAGTCGCATATTTAACACACAGATAATATAACTATCAACCAAAAGAATAAAAGAATATGGTATAGAAGTTCTCAAATTTAGAGCTGGTTATATTGCAAAAGACAAGTTCTAAGTTTTTTGAACAATTTAGCTGTGCATCTGAGAATAAATGAAATGCATCTATACATTGGAGAAAAAGGAATTAGGTCCCTAAGCTGGTTTATCACTGATAACCTCGAATATATGTGAATATGCAGTCTATAATAATACACACTATATTTAACTTACATTTAGACCATTATAGGGAAAATATATATTTAACATGTTTCAAACATCATCAGGAAACAAATCAGTTCAACAATCCATTTTGTTAGTCAAGTCTATTTTATCACATTTGTAAACACTGGTGTTTTCCAACCGGAGCACCAAACACGTTAATCAAGTATTTATTCATTATAGCAAAGCAGGACTTTGTAATACTTCTTTCAGTTTTTATATGGAGACATTGAATCTACTCAGTTGTCTTCAACAAATGGTTATAGTAACTTTTAAAATTGATAAGTACTGTCGAATGACATTTTAGAAACAATTCTGGAAATTAAACACTAATAAATTCAGTAATAACAAAAATTACTAATGTGGAACCTCAAGCAATCTCTATACAAAGAAATATAAACTGAACAGAATGTAACAAATCAGTAAAGATTTTTTTTTAAATGTAATCTTACCTCAAAAAGCACAAGGAAGTAATCTCAGTTTAAGAATTTAAGGCACTAAAGTTAATGAGCCTAAATCTTGCTGAGAATTGTCTTTCCTCTCCAGTGAGATAGGGTACTTATGAGAAAGGAAGATAAACCTAGAGACCAGAGACAGAAACTGACTGCCTTCATCAAATTCAGCTGAATTTGTTTCACCTACATATTTAAATTCTTTTTCATCAACCCCAACACTTAGAAACAAAACACTGCACATTAAATAAACAAGCTTTCTTACTTCTCTTAAAAGAAAATCAGTGTTATCTGGTAATCCGGACCCTATATATCCATGTGTGAACAGGGGATTAGAACATCCCCCTTCCACAATGCATTACATTACTCACTTGTGTTAAATGGGTGGCAAGACAATGAAGTTTAACATCCATCCCTAGTACGAGGTGTGACAAAAATCAATGACAGTTTATAGTTCATAGGTTTGTGATAGGTTTATTACCAAGCAAAGTAACTATTAAATTCTGTAGGTTAATTATGTTTCTAACTGAGAAGTACTTCTGTAGAAGATGACTTTTCCTGAACACAGCAATAATCCCACCACTGATACACATCTTCACATACCATGTCAGCCAGGATGTTCAGAGGAAGGGTGAAGACGTCTGGCTTTTAAGCCATTAAACTATCTGAAAACATACAGGTTTCCCTATAAAATAATGCTAACTAGATTGGCATATCTGAATAATTATCATTTGCTATTGAAAGTTCCATCATATCAATCTGTACACGAGAAAATTTTCACCTAAAGAGGTTTTTTAAGAGGTGCCTGGGTAACTCAACTCAGTTGGTTGGGCATCCAACTCTTAGGTTTTGGCTCAGGTCATGATCCCTTGGGAGACTCTGCTTGAGGATGCTCTCCCTGCCCCCCTCCACCTGCTGCACGCATGCTCGCTCACATGCCCTCTCTCTCTCTCTAATAAACAAATCTTAAAAAAAAAAAAAAAAAACTTAAAAAAAAAAACATGAAAATTTCAGGGTGCCAACTCAGCTATCAATGACTTTGTATTTGTGGACCATACATGGAAAAATAAAGATTCAGGGTTCTTGTAAAGGCTAGGGGAAAAGACATAGAATGGAAAAAGAGGAAATAAATGAATAATTTTATTAGCTTCTTCTTGTAGCATGTGTATATATTTTATTCTGGAATCAAATGAGTTTTTTTTTTTAAAGATTTTATTTATTTATTTGACAGAGAGAGACAGCGAGAGAGGGAACACAAGCAGGGGGAGTGGGAGAGGGAGAAGCAGGCTTCCTGCAGGGCAGAGAGCCTGATGTGGGACTCGATTCCAGGACCCTGGGATCATGACCTGAGCCGAAGGCAAATGCTTAACGACTGAGCCACCCAGGTGCCCATCAAATGGAGTTTTTTTTAAAAAAAGATGATTTAAGTGTGCATTCGTAAATAAGAACTTTAGGCTAAAAAACTACTCCTCTTAGGCAACCTAACCTAACTGACATGGTTATTAAACTATATCCTCACAGACCCATCTTTCCTACCATTTCCATCACATGTGGAAAAGAGACAAAATAGTTAAGATCTACTATCTTCTAACAATCTGATAAAATTACAGGTTTCATTTCTTTCCTTTTTTCTTTAACATATTCTACAATTAAATAATGGCTATTATTTTTCAACAAGCATTTTAAAGGAGTTACTGATGCTATGAGTAAAATCATGGTACCAAGCAGCTTGTAGAGCCGCAATGACCTGTATAGCTACTTCTGGCTAACAAGGCTACCTGGAAGAGTATAGATTATTCCCTGAATGGTGAATATTCACAAATTGCATTTAAAGACAAAAACACAAGGGAAACGTGAAATAAGTTGCAAATTTACAAAAGAGCCTGGTAGTTACTTATCAATCACTTCAAATTATGTATCAGGAAGTGTAAAACTGAGATAAACGCAAACTGTTCATGAATTACAGAAGGTTCACTCTATATTCTATTCTCTGATTCTTCAACTCCTTTTGCCAGCATTCAAAAGCAACAGGGGGCAACATAGAGCTGGGGCTCCTCTTTAGTCAGAGGAGACTGGCTACGGACGTGGAGGGTGAAGGGGAAAAAGTCTCTCCCGGTTTCCTGGGCTTTTCGCTGCAGAGCTAACACAGAAGGGAAAGCCATCACAGCCCCAACATCTTAAGCTCCCTGACTTCTTACCCTTCTCAGTACAATCTTTGCTGAAAAAGAGCCCCTCTTCATCCTAGGATCCCTTTTTAAAGCAAACACACACACAAACATAATATGTTACACCATAATTTCCTTCTGTAGCAGGCCCTTAGAAAATTCTTTCATTAATATTTATTTTCTCATTAATATTTAAAAGAAAAAGTTCCTTTAATGCTTGCTAGAAAGAAATGTGGCTGAAGAGCAGCTTTTCCATAATTTTTCGAACTATCTTAAGCAGTACATTTTGGGGGGGTGTATATATGTATATATGTTATACTTTATACCCTTATTATCCAACTATATAAACCAGGTCATCAAATTAAAAAGACGAACAGCATCACAATCTCATAGGTGAGTAAAAGAAGGTAAAATAAGTTCTAAAATACAAATAGGAAATCAATTCTGTAAGTGCTAGTTTCTGCTATGCTCACAAAATAGTGAAATACAAGTTTTAGATAGTCGTGAATTTTTCTTGATTATATAATTAAAATTATGAAAATGAGTGACAAAGAAACAATAAAAAACATTAGCTAATACCCCATACAGTCATGCAAAAATATAAAGCAAAGTTTCAAATAATCAAATAAAAGGGCTACAAAATGACTAAATCAATTCTTAATTTTAGTGCTCCACATTCGGTTTGATGCTTACTCAACCATTCACAAATGCAGACAGGTAAATTTTCTGTGACATACACATCAAAGCTTACTGGCATCCAAAACATTATTTCACACATATCTCTGATATATACAATGTAGGCTTTCAGACCGTTTACATCAGACCTTATTTTTTCTGTCTTTTTTTAAATTTTATTATGTTCTGTTAATCACCATATATTACATCATTAGTTTTTGATGTAGTGTTCCAGGACTCGTTGTTTGCGTATAACACCCAGTGCTCCATGCAGTATGTGCCCTCTTTAATACCCATCACCAGGCTAACCCATCCCCACACCCCTCTAGAACCCTCAATGTTTCTCAGAGTCCACAGTCTCTCGTGGTTGCCTCCCCCTCGGATTTCCCCCCCTTCATTTTTCCCTTCCTACTATCTTCTTTTTTTTAACATATAATGTATTATTTGTTTCAGACCTTATTTAAAAAAGTAGAAGGATCAACATAACAATAAAAAAATTAAAAAAAACACTGCATCGAAAACTAATGATGTAATATATGGTGATTAACATAACAATAAAAAATTAAAAAAAAAAGTAGAAGGAAGCATAAAGAAACAACTCTAAAGACTACTCCCATTCTGACTCCAAAGCCTATTTCTTTTCACATTATGCCATTTCACTGTCCATTGTAATTATTTACTATTACAATTAGAAAGGCACAAATGAATTCATCTATACTTTAATAATCAATTTTTAAATATTACTTAGGTAACTGCAAGGTTTATATATTCATTTACAAAACAAAACTCCATAATTTCTAATTTCTGCTGAAGTACATTTAACTCTTTGTAACAAACATGAGAAATCTGGGAATAAAAAAAGAAGTCATATCTTCTAGAGCCAACCTGAAGATACTGCTACTCTAAAGATGGGATAATATGAATATCAATAAAGATAATAATGACAACAGATCTGAGATGTAGCAAATGTTAAATCTATGAATCCATAATGATATGAAACAAAAAACAGATCATCATTAAAATATGGTGGGGTTTCAACTCATTCTGATATGTGACTGGTCAGAATCAGTCATATAGTAACTTTCCTATACAAATTATATCATTGGATAACTGAAGATTTTTGAAGAAATATTTCAGCTCATAAATGAAGGAATGATAAAATCTAGAATATCAACATTTTGCATAATGGACCCAGGCATGGAGCATCAATAGCTCACATTACAAAAACAGAAACCATCAATAATATGTGCCTCTTAAACCGTAAGTAGCAGGTTTGCACCCCGCCAAAAAAATAGCCTGTAACAGATCATATATCTAGAACCAACTATCAATGTATAGAGAATACAGAGAGAGGAACCTGTTAAGGGACCCCACAGTGGTGCACTCAACAAATTCAGAGTAAAATCAACTACATACTCTACAGGACAAATAACCTGATTTCTTCAACAAATAACAGAGGAGAAAACAGAAATGGAGGAAGAACCCACAGACTATGTGATATATCTCACAAATGCAGTGTGTACACCTTATTTGAATAAACTCAGTGTGTGTTTGTCTGAACTGGAATGGAAAATTTGAATAGCGACTAATGAATAATAATAATTATTATTAAGGAGTGATAATACTACTGTGGTTATGTTTAACAAAGTTCTTCTGTTTTATAGATACATATAAAATATTTAGGGATAAACAAATATATCTAAAATTGCTTCAAAATAATTAAGAGGAGCAATGTAAGGAGTAGAATAACAAATAACAAATGTAAGGAGTAGAATAACAAATGAAACCAGATTAGGCATAAGCAATGAGTACACAACGGTTCTATTACCTGGTCACTTCTGAATATTTGCAATTTTCCATATTAAAAGGGTGAAAAAATACATTAAAAAGTCTTTCCCCATTTTTCTTTGGAAAGAGGTCATGTCAGTAACTGACATTAAGTATAATCTCTTCTGTGATTAAAAAAGCACCAGAGTTACATGGCTACATATTACACGTCAACAGCTTTGAGGGCCCACCCCCTCAATAGAACACATTTACTGATATTTAAGTTTTAAAAAGAATGGATGTTTCTCAGTGCTAATATACGTGTCTGGTAAAAAGCTGTTGGGGAAAAATACACATACCTGCGTGACTGTTGAAATGTGCAAAGTTAGCAAAATTGGCTGTAGCTGTTGATTGAGGTGCTGGAGCAGCAAAGATGTCTGAGCCAAGATCACTTAAAAGGTCAAACTGCTTCTTTTCCTGCTGCTGCCCTTGAGAGCGACCTACAACTGGAGACTATAAACCACATATTAACTATAAAGAACTTCCTGTCAGATCTGCTACATTTTTTTACTACTATTTCCAATTCACCAAGTTTAACACACAGTTTTAAAGATTACATAATCTTTTATCTGTAGTTTTGAATACTTTGCTATTTTCCGAAGAGCACAAATTTTCAACATCTATTTCCACATTATCTCTCAATTCTAAGTACAAAGTCAAAGGCAAAAAAAACACTGTATTACAACAGTTGTTACACCTTCTAACACAAGACAGACTTACCACTAAGAGAGCAATGATAAGACTGTCACAAAACACATCCTTTATATGATGGGAAGAGTACAACATACTGACTTAACCCTTCTCTTTATTTTTGACTCAAACCTCTTGTGAAAACTGAGTAATTTTATCCAGATGCCCGAGTGCGCATTATTAAAAAGGGTAGGCTTTCATTCAAATAGTACTATGCCTCAGAACCATTCATGTGTAGGGCAGACATTGTAAAGCCAGACAGGAAAAAATTTGTCACAGCTCAGTCAATTGTAATAAAGTGCAGAAACACTAACTTTTTTACCAAGTTATGAAAAGACTTCAGTCTGTTTAGTTTTTTAAAATAAGGTATGTAATGCAAAGCCACCTGTATTTCGATGATAAACATGCTTCACAACCAGGCAGGGAAAAAATTCTACTGCTTAAGAAATTCCTTCTTGTAAAAGTCCATCACAGAGACTATACTGCTCTAACTCTGATGGTCCCCACAGAGTCGGGTTTTACTAAATTTAAGTTATATGATAGCTAGCTATTAACAACATTCCTGTATACCTTTACAAACCTGTGGAGCATTCAAAGAAACTCTAATTTGCAGAGCAAAAGAGAACAAAAATATGCACCTCCCAACCACTTAACCAAGATCCTTTTCATGTATTATAAACCGTTAGGACAGAACGCTGTTGGCATATGGGTTTATGCTACTGTCTTAAAGAATTCTCAAATTCATGACACTCACTATCCTCCTTACGTGGAAGCCTCTACAAGACCTTAAGACTACTCACCTGACTAGGTGTGCCCTTATTTAAGTGCAGTGCTGGTGCTGAATCTCCTAAAAGAGACTTCAGTGGTTTGACCTCAGGTGTGCTGCTTGTGCTACTGGCAGAGGACCCTGAAATAGATGCATGAACTGATGCCACCACTTTGGCTTGTTCTGGAGGGACGTACCTAAAACATATGAAAAATTAAGCAGGCAGTTACCTAAGAAAAATGTAGGGAATACTATGCTTAAAAATGATAAACTTAATTCTCATTTTTTTACGAGACTATTTCAACACTAATCTTATTTCAAAACCCTCTTAGAATTGATAGCTTAAGACTGCGCTTAATTGAAATACTCAGAAAGGGTAATAAAGACTAACCACAAAACTTGTTTCAATTATTTACTTAACAATTTTTCTAAGAAAATAAATAAAATAACTGCTTTTTTTTTTTTTTAGCAAAAGAGCACCTATAGCTAGTCATCATGATGAACAGTTAAAACTCTTAATTTTTTAAAAACTAAACTATCATAAGATCATAAATAACATTTGGGAAGAGAGCAGAAGAATGGGAAAATATTTATTATATTACAGTTAACAGTCTAAAATATAAAGGTCTGTTACAAGTCTAGGAGAATAAGATCAACAATGCAATTTTTAAATAAGCAGAAACAATTTACAAATGGAGACATAGAAATGAAAATGCTTGTAACCTCATCAAAATGCAAATTAAAATTTCACATTTACTCCAAGCAAAATTTTATAAATTTTGTTATTTCCTACTAAAATATTATAAATAGGTATGCTCTGTGTCCCAGAAGTACAATTTCCAGAAACTTCTCCGTTGGGATTAATTGGATAAGTAACAAAGATACACGTGCATGCATGTTATCACAGCTCTCTTTATAATTTCAAAAAACTAGCTACATATCAAACACTCATCAGGAGAAAAATACTTAAAGGGGTTTTGTTAACATTTGTATAATAGAATGCTACATAGCTACTCTTGTTCTAACATGGAAAGATGTCCCTAAGACTATAAAGGTCTTGCAGGTTTGATCTCAGTCATGTAAGTACAAGATTTACAGGAGGAAGAGAGTAAAGAAAGGAAAGAGAGGCAGTAAAAACATAATGCCCAAACACTGTCAATGCTAATCTCTAGGGCTGGGATCACATGAGAGCTTTAGTTCTATTTCTAGGTTTTGTCCCACTCTACCCTTCTTTCCACCCCCACCCCCCATATCACATGGGGGAGTAGGAAAACACAGTGGTTAAGAGCACCTATATGTTCTAGAGACAGAGATCAAATCCCAGCTCTACCACTCAGTAGCTATGAAACCTAGGGCAAACTACTTCACCCTTTGTGCCTCCAATTTTTCATCTATAAGATGGAGATATAGTTGCTAGGAGGTATAACTGAATTAACATTTGTAAATACTTAGAACAGTTCCTGGTACACGTGTATTAGCTACGTGTTAGCTCTTATCAAATTATATAATAATGACAAACAATACACTGCTTTCCCAGTAAATGGGACAGATGTGATATGAAAATGGAAACAGGAAGTTATGCTTTCCCATAATCTGGTGTATTCACTGAGGATATCGTTTTATCAAAGGATAAAACCAGATAATACTATTTGGTTCAAAATACTCATCTGACTAAAAGTAAAGAAGCTAGGCTTGTGTAGCATAGAAGTGAGTTTGAAAACTGGTCAAACAATTTCAAAACGCCTTCAGATCTAAGACAACAATAACCTCAAGGTATTAAGTACAGTGAGGATTTTTAGGGAGACTGCATTTAGATAGTGCTGATGTCATGTTAAAAACCCACTGCACTGCGCTCTCATTACAAGTCCCAGGGATGGAGAAGTGTGGGTTTAAAATGCACAGGGCCTGGCCCACCTGACTGTGGGTCACTCCCTCTTGGTGCCCACCATTCAAGTGTGTCTTTGTATTATTCTTCTCATTAATACCCTGTTTCTCAGCAAGTACCATGAATTATAATTATTTGAGGTTTACAGTTATTTGGGTTATAGTCTGAATTACTAATTTTATAATTATTACCATCCTAAACGCAAGAAGGGAATCAATGGTTTTAAATCTATTAAGTCTTACTCATGCACACTTTCCTTTTGCGAGTTGAAAAATAAACCATCTGAAATCCCAGCTAAGTTCTATTCAAACTAACTTTCTGAGCTGGTAAAAACTGTTGGGAAAATCAAAATCAGGCTATAACTATGCAAGGAGAAAGGTCTAACTACAGGATACAAGATCTTGGAAATTAAGAGCTGAAATGATAGAAGGATAATTTTACACTCCATTTTAAGAGAATCATTTATGCCACCATGTTTTTACTATTACTCCACCCTGAAAGATCTTTCTTGATCTAAAATTTTACTAGTATGGGGGCGCCTGGGTGGCTCAGTCAGTTAAGCACCCAACTTCAGCTCAGGTCATGATCCCAGAGTCCCGGGATCAAGCCCCTCATCAGACTCCCTGCTCAGTGTGTAATTTGCTTCTCCCTCTGCCCCTCGCCCGGCTCTCATGCTCTCTCACTCTCTCTCAAATAAATAAATAAAATCTTTAAAACTGTACCAGTATGTTTTTATCTCCGTTCATACTGAACGCATCTAGTGCCGCTGAACATAGCCCTGGCTGTGACTAATCTTGCCTTGCAAAAAGTAGTCTCCTCTAGAAAATAAGAATCCCAAGTTCACAGAGCACACAAATCAAAGCCACTTCTTTCTACTGTGCTCACTGAAATAAAGTAGAGATATGTCACCCATGAACCATAGCAAGTACTCCCTCAGGATCCCCTGAGTTAAAATACAGCTCCTCGGGAAAACAAGAAACCATTTACCTCCTCCTTATCTGTTCCACCTATTTGTGACTCTCTCCTTAATTTTCTTAACCCCCCAAGAAGGAAATATATACCACTGAATAAAGAGTCTTAGTACACTGAATTGTGTTCATATAGTTAAAAATGATGATTCCAGAGTAGTTGAATATAGTTTTACAGACGTATTTCCTGCTCTGCTTTTTAAAGGGCTTTACTAGCCATATGTCTAACCTGTTTTAACTTCTTTGTAAAAATTAACATCTGATGGATTTAGTCAGGGGAGCATAAACACTCCCCTCTTAACCAGGTAGTAAAATGATTTCTTGGGTGAGAGGTGAGGATATTTTGATCAAAGACTTACTGCAAAATGCAATTAAGTGGATGGATTACTACACAAGAGCTTTAGCATAGTGCTTAGTATAAAAGATGCTAAATACTTGCTAAACGAATGACAATTTTAAGGAAGAGGCTGTATAAAACTAGAATGTCTTGAGAAGCTAATAGGACTACAAAAGGATTAGAAGGAAGGATCCCTAACTTTCCAAAAAGGGGTAGGAGGCCTGGGATTAAGGAACAAGTTGCTGCTAGGCACAGGTGACTTAAGTCAAGGCTTTTAGAAACCAAATCCAACAAAATGCCAGAATATAATGAGGATCTATCTACCTACATACCTATTTCCTTATTTCCTATCTACCTATTTCCTTCCTTCCTTCCTTTTCAGATTAATCTTACCCATAATTAATGTGAGTTTGGGAGCCTTTGCTCTAAATACAAACTATTCACTCACCATCTTTTCTTTTCATACTTTTCTTGTAGGAACTCTTTCACTTTCTGTGGATCCCTGAAGTCTGGAATTGCTGAAGATCTATCATCAAATAATCCTAGCCAAATCTGTTTACAGACCTTTGGAAAGAATTAAAAAAACAAAAGTGTTAATTTCAACATCTTAACTTAATGAAATTTTAAGGGAAAATTAGGATTCTTTCAAAAAGCTAACCTACTTAATACCACTCCTTTCAATGAGAATATTTACCACAAAGAAAAATGAAGAAGCAACGAATGAAGTAAATTTATTTTAATATATTCCAGTCTGCAATAAAATCTTAGCAACAGCATTATAAAAAATAACATCTCACAGGGAAACAACTAATGAAATGGGATTTGAGGGGATTTGGGACTTTTGGGTCTTGAAATGACCATAAACTAAAGCCCTGAACTAAGTCGTATACTTTTATAAACCTCAGTTCCTTCACCCATAAAACAGAGGAATTAGACCAGCAGCAATTTCATGGATCTTTGACAGATTAAAAAATCAACCAAAAAAGCGGCGCCTGATTTCAGTCAGTAGAGCATGTGACTCTTTCTTTAAAAAAAAAAAAAAAAGACTTATCTATTTACTTATTTGAAAAAGAGAGAGCACACACATGCCTGTGCATGAACAGCGGGGGGGGGGGGGGGGGAGCATCAGAGGGAGAAGGAGAAAAGAGTCTTAAGCAGACTCTGCATTGAGCATGGAGCTAGACACAAGGCTCAATCCCAGGACCCTGAGATCACAACATGAGCCGAAACCAAGAGTCAGATGCTTAACCGACTACGCCACCACCCAGGTGCCTCTAGAGCATGTGACTCTTGACCTCAGGGTCATGAGTTCAAGCCCCATGCTGGAAGAAGAAATGAAAAAAAAAAAAAAAACCCAAATAAAAAGTACTAGAATCATAAATAATTTGAGCTTAAAGTATAATAACAATAACAAAAATACAAGGCAGATACAACTCTAGCTTTATAATCACCTCCTATGCTTTCTTACCCCTAATGGTTAAAATCTAAGAATCTGAGATATTTAACTTTTTAGAAAAATTACAGAAATAAAATGATGCAGAACTCAGAACACAAAGAGCAGAGAAATATAAAGAAAAAACTGATAAGGTGGATTTCAAAATTTACAACTCTTGCTCTTCAAAAAAACTTAAAAGAAAAATGAAAAGGCAAGCCACCAACTGATAAAAAGTACTGGCAAAATGCGTTCAGAACCTAAAAGAACATGAATCCAAAATACATTTAAAAATTTCTAAAACTCAATTACAAAAAACTTGTAAGAGTGGGCAGAGAAGTTGAACAGACACTTCACTAAAGACATACACATCACAAATAAGCAGCCCCAAATCACCAGTCATGCAGAAAATAAAAACAACACCAAGACTCCACTACATAGAAACCCATAGATACCACTAGAGGGCTAAAAATAAAAAGATTAACCATATCATGTGTTGGTAACAATGTGGAACAACTGGAACTCGCAAAAATGTTCAAATGGTACAACCACTTTGGAAGACTGTTGACGATTTCTTAAAAGCTAAATATATACCTACCAGATGACCCAGCCATCCCACTTCTAAAGTATCTACCCAACAAAAATAAAAAAACACATGTCCACACTCAAATTTGTATACAATGTTCATAGCAGCTTTACAGATAATAACTCTGAAGTGGAAACAACCGAAAAGGTTCATCAACAGGTTGAATGGATCAATTTTGGAGTATCCAAGTAGGATACTACTCAGCAATTAAAAGGAATAAATTATTGATACAGGCAACTACATGAATAAACCTCAAGATAATTATGCTGACTGAGAAGCCAGATCCCCCTCTAAAGTATATACTGTATGATTCCACTCATTTATATTTTAGAAAATATAAACGTATCTATAATGACAGAAAGGAGATCAGCAGATACATTACAAATGGGCACAAAAAAAACTCTGCGGGATAATGAAAATGTATGTTGTCTTGTCACTATCGTGATGGTTTCACATATATCAAACTTCATCAAAATTGTATAGTTTAAATAAGCACAAGTTATTGTAATTATTCTTCAGTAAAGCTATGACACTAGTCCACAAGTTTCCAAAATTATATTGTTTTAAAAAACAACCAATTATTACACTGTGAAAAGAACAGCATCTAGCTTCAAAAAGCCCAAGATTTGAGGAATCAGGATGAAAAGCAGCAGCACACCTCTCAATCATACCCTGCTCACTGAAGTGGGTAAGGGAGAAAGGGGAAACAGAAAAAGGACTCACCCTTCTCCTCTATCTGGACCCCAAGCACATTTCAAGACAACTTTTCCTCTGGTTCCCTCCTACTCCAGGCTCAGTACAGACACTATACCATCATTAAGGCAGGACAGCTGACACACATAAGGTCTAGGCTAAGGCACAATCTCATTATAAAAAATTTTCAGTGGCAAAAACCAAGAAGCACAGTCACCCAGAAATGGTGATGCAACTTACTGCCGGAAATACCATCAACCCTGTAGAGGGCCAGTTTCTCCAAAAACTATTTAATAATTTAAAAAGAACCACATGGGACTCTCCTTAGTCAGAAACCTGACTAATGATTCTCCAAAAATGTAATTTTTGAAAGATGCTGTGGCTTTACAATTACATTTATAAAGGGGGGATCAGAAGTTTCTAATTCTTCTATCTCCCAAATGAGAAAACAAGAGACATGGTAATCATTTGCCCAAGGCCAAAGAATTATTAACTGTGACTGACACAATTAGTTCAGGACACTTTATGACATTTAAGTCATTACATTCCAAAAATCCCCATTAACTACCATATACAATTTTTTAAACTACAAATAGTGAATAAATAACAAATACACAAATCAAAAGAAGATGGCCTGAAGAGAGATCATTAAGTTACTGTCTTGGCACTCATCATGGTAAAATAAAGCAAAGATGACGTACTTGATGGTAAACTTTATATATATAGACAGCTGGCCTTAGCAGCCTGTAGGCCCTGCCACTCAAAATTCTAAACGAACTGCTGCGGTGCTGCTCCGGCTTGCCGACTGGAAAAACCATTAAAACTGGCTGCTTTGGTCCACTACAAATTCATGCCATCTCACTATCAAAGCCCCTTGATATTGGTCAGTTCTTATTTCTGACTGTGTTACCCCACAACAACAATTTCCTATTTTGCTCAAAATCCTGAGTGAATTACTAATAGGGCAAGCAGTACCGAGACCTGTGGTCTTGAGTATTAAAATGAAACCAGTCATAAAAGTTGTGTGTTTCCCTCCAGCCTCATCTGGTTATTTAGGTACAAAGTAGTCAAGTGTTGGCTTTAATTAAGGTAAAATACAACCGAAGTTAAAAAGGAGTGGTTATAACAGACCATGGAATCTAAAGTGAGAAAAACAAAGATATGATGAGGATGATGGACAACAAAGAAGTTTAGGTTCAGGTTGTTAATAAAATTGCTGGGAGTAAGAAATTAAGAGGGAATGAGCTGGGAAGAAAGAAGTGGGGGTCTCAGAGAACAGGATGTTTGAACCTGAACTCTTGATTCAGTTATTGATAAATAAAAAATCTAAAATAAGATGCAAGATTATAGGAGGTTAAGAGGTCAAGGAATTCAGGAGGCCGAATTATCTATTATTATGACAATCATGGAGATTATCCATGCAGATACTGAGATTGGCAGAAATGATTAACACTAGTAAAAAAAAAGACATTATGTAAGGAGCTAAAATCTATAATGAATGAGGGGCCTCAGAGGTATGACTGCAATAAGAAGCCACAGCAATTGATAAAATCTACTTGCACAAGAAGCATGCGGCTGGGTGCCCAGAAACACCACTGGGGAGCAAGAATGAGACTGAAAAGCCAACATTTGAAAGAGCTGCACTCATGATGTAATTAGTTTTGATAATCTCTTTGAGCGACGTGGATAATCAGTTCTAATTATAGAATAATGTGATGGCTAGGGTAGTTCAGAGCATAGACTAGGGAATCAGACAGCCTGAATTTGAATTCCAACTCGGTTTAGTCACAGAATCTGCTTCACAGGGATGGTGGAACGGTTAAATGAGTTAATAGGAGTTTTCTACTCTGGAACAGGCATATATGTGAACTTTAACTAGTATTAGTTATTATTACTTTCAGAGGTGGGTTATGAAATAATAAGGTGAGCAAGGGCTGGGAAGTAGAGGTCTCCTCGGGAACACAGGAAACTATGAGTCTCCCTTCTTTCCTGCTACAGACAGAATCAAAGTTGTCTTGATAAAATAATCTCCCTCCTCCAAACTTCTCTTTTTAAAAAACATTTTATTTATTTATTTGACAGAGACAGACACAGGGAGAGAGGGAACACAAGCGGGGTGGGGGGGTGAGGGAGAAGCAGGCCTCCCGCTGAGCAGGGAGCCCCATGCAGGACTCGATCCCAAAACCCTGAGATCATGACCCGAGCTGAAGGCAGACACTTAACCAACTGAGCCACCCGGGCGCCCCTTCTCCTCCAAACTTCTATAGCACTTTGTACCTCTCACATGAGATTCATTACCAACTGCCTCATATTCAAATTACTGCACGTGTCTCGTGTACTTTTGAATTCCCCACAATGCTTAAAAAGATGGGTTGTGCCACAGTGTGTGTTCAATAAATATACCAATAGTGCTCAAAACCACACATCATTTATTTTAAAATAAAATTACATATCAGCCAAAAGAATAAACCCATGAAATTGTCAGGATAATTTTTTCCTTATTCTAGTGCTAATCCACTTTAGAATTGCAATCATAATAGTCACTGACAGAACCTAAAATATTTTAAAGCATATTTATCAGTCAGGGTTGCCATAGAAAACAGGTGGCATGCTCAATTTGTGAAATTTGAAAAAAGTTTAATAGGCTATTTACAAAGCACAGAGGCTGTAAGGAAATCACATGAGTATAGTTCCCCGCATTAGTAAGAGCAGGGCCCAACCCTACCCACTGGCAGTGAAGGGAGGAAAGAGGAAGATGTCAGTAACCTTAAAAGGAAGAGGGCTACTTAATAGGAGTTTGACCTTCAATGGAAGGATGCAGAAAGAATACAAGAAATCCCACAGGGAAGAAGA